AAATAATTCATATGTCTTTGCAGCTCTTGCAAGTTGGCTCCCCAATACAAGGAAAGAATCAAGCTGTCAGTATTCAGATGTATCACTGCAGTGTTCATATAGTTTTTTCAGTGTCTTCCTTCACAGATTTGAGGCGTTGCAACACTGGAAGGCCAACTGTTTAATCTGGTCAAAACTAGTTATGTCTACAGATTTTCGTAAGAAATCAGAAAGAGATATGCCAAAAAAAAAAAAAAAAAAAAGTGCTCGACAATTAAAGCATGACAATATAGCTTCATCTCTTTAAGAGTGAGAGGAAGATCTATCATCAGCAACATTTCAAATGAAACTTAAGGAGATATTTCAGAGAAATAACCTGAACTGGCAAGGGGAGAGATGTAGCTCATACCTGCAACAGTGCAGAAGCCAAAAGGAAGCTAGTATGTAAGGAAAAAAAAGAAAAAAAAAAAAAAAGGTATCTGACTGAGAAGGCAGTTCTCATGCTTTATTTTTGTTTCATAGGCACAGATGTTTTATGACATATGACCATTGGAACAGTCTACCTTCTGATCAGTTACTGTATGCTTGTTAAATAGCCCTATCCTTTCCATTTCCTTCAAGTAAAACAAACATGGAGACCACAGATGATTATGTGACCCTTAAGATATCTAGAAGCAAGGTTTTCCAAAGGAAGATTTGTAATGAGTCAGACTTCTAAATAACAGCAAGATGGAGAACTTTGAGAAGCGCTTAAACTCCGAATGGGTTTAACTTTTCTCAAAAGCTAGCCACTTACGTCAGTGCCTGCATGTGGCCCAGATTCTTCTAAAAATGTGGTCCAGACTATGTATGCTAAATTCCATTGAAATTCAGTCCTTGGTATGCATATTCCTACACCACTGAAAAGAACAGGTTTGTAGTAAGAAAAAAAAAAAATTGACCTTGAACGTGGGCACTCAAAACTTTTTGGGGTGTTTTTCCAAGAGCAGATGTTTGAAGAAAGTCTGTATTACATCAGACTACTATACTGTTTTGACAGGACACAAAATGTCCATACAGTAACACCACACGGGCAGCTGTCATACATCCAGCATTATCTTTCAATATAGTTATGGGTATGTACAGCATTTGTATTAGTGCCAATTAAACAGTCGTTGTCACTTATTTGGTTATCAAACAAACAATCTGGGATATCTGAACCATTCACACTCCCAATGGTGCAGATTCCTCTCAATTTTCCGATCAGGCAATCAGGTCCTTTGTTTCCTAACGCTCAGAAACCACCAGATATCATTTTATACTGAATTTGCTCAGACTTCTGGAAACATCTATGTGATACTAGCTATGCCCAAGATGACCGGTATTAGCATAATCACTTCAGTTTACTTTTGTGTAAAAACTTGTCACATGATACCTATGCTTACAGCTTTGAATGTTGATCTTCAAGATGGAGCAATTTCATTCCCTCATCTGCTGA